AATAACATATCTATCGTATTGATGGGGTTTCGTCTTCTGAACTGGATGGTTTGGTCGTGGAGCTCTCACTGTTATTCTGAACGACAACATCAGCACAAACTTCAGGTAGAAGTGAAGTGTTCGAATTTCTCTACATATGGTTCGCAGCTTGTCCTGTGGACCTCGGTGCTGATTGCTTCTTGTTGACCTTAAATCTGTTATTGTTTGCTTCTTTGTTTTGATTGTATCTCCCATTGGCTTAATTTTTGGTCCTATGTTTGTCCATAATTTTCCTGCGAACCATATGTGGAGAAATTCGAACACCATCCAGCTCAGAGAACAAAACTCCATCAAAATTATCCACCTGAGCTACAAATTTTCTTCACCAACTCAAATATCTATGATGTGTATTTCTGCCAAGAAAAAAAACTGCATGTAGAATATTACAGAGAAAAATGTTTCTTTTTATCATTTCTGTGAAGTTAAACTACTCTGATTGGTGTTGATTCCTTTTAACACTGAAATCCTTAAGCCGAATGATAATTGAGTAGCTTTATCGATCGGGATTAGAACTTAATCGCTACGTTAAGCGACTTGATTGAAATGAACATAAAGAAGAGATAATCTACGAATATCTCTCAGTTTTACATTATTCTACAATGGTATTTCTTAGAAAGATATTGTAACGCGGAAACACTGTATTGCTGTTGCATCCTATTTTGGGACAAGTCATTAGTGTGCTCATATAACTCGTCACTGGAGAAACTTAGAGGTCCCATGTTCAACCTCATGTGAGTTCGTCTGGTGCACACTAATGACCCGCTCCGCATAACGAAAAAACAACCACTCATTGTTTCACTGAATCATAATAATTTTTCGATTAGCATGAGTTAGTAACGTAAATAACGTTAGAGCCGTAAATAACTGCTTACCCGTTTAACTGAATTGCGGACCATCTTAATACGATGATGTGACAAGCACTTGTGTTGAGAGATTTTGCTAATAAGTGTAGTTATTATTACCTACGGTATTGTTTTCTTGAGACACAATGAATTGTAACATAAACCCCAAAGGAATCACAGATATTCGGATTAATTACAGTTTGGGAACTTTATTCCTACCAATAGTCAACCGATAAATTTCGATACGCTAAGTAATATATATCTTCAGCAAAGAAGAGTAGCTGAACAAAACGCACAATCTGAATCAGACAGCAAAATACCTTTTTGGATGTACTAATAACCAGGATCAATATAGGAAAACTGGAGACTCAAGTGTATTTCAGAAACCAAACCACATAGACTAAATATTCTACTACAACAGCGAAACCTCGATGATTCACAAAGTGAGTTGCATACGAACAGTGTTCAAATGAATGAAAACTCATTGTAGCACCGTCATTGCATAGGAGAACGAAAAGAATTACCCTATGGATGTATTTCGAGAAAATCAATACCTTAGAAAAGCTTCATTAAGAAATATTTATCAAACTGATCACCAAGCACAAAACCAACAAAAAACATCGAGCGTATAATCCTACCCCTACATGAAAAACAACTCCAAGATAACGAACAGATTGTCAAGCCCACTAGAAAAAGGTGCAGCACACAAAATGCTTTCTATCAATATTATGCAGGTCAGAGGAAACTATGACAGATAAAGATAAACCAAACATCGTCAGCAAAATTAATTACATCAACTGCAAAAGACCCAATATAGGACAAAGCGGTCGCCTACAACGTCTACGGGAACATCAGTTTGCGGTTAAACGCCACGATAGTTTCTTTCAACTCAATGCATGCGGACAACTATGGGCACGATTTCGATTGGGAAAACATCGAAACAATAGTCAGAAGAAACACAAAGAAAGTTAGCAAGTTCTCGGAAACACGGAGCTTTGGTAACACACCAATTTATAGACATATCAAAATAGGTCCAACCTATCAGCCAATCAAGGAAAGGATTGACATCTTGAGGGTCAGAGGTAAAAACAATCAAAACAAACATACAAGAAACGACCACACCCCTTGGACAACAACCGATCAAATTATAGATCAATAGAATAAACAACTAACCAACTGTGGAGAAATTTTAAAACTCACTTCTTATTGAAGCGTGTGATGACGATGTTGTCGAGAAAGACAATGAAAACTTCATAACGAAACCATTCAGCTCAGCGAACTAGAAATCTTTAAAAAACTGGTTGGTTGTACGCTTATGAGTAGTGAAAAGCAACATAATTGGATATTGATTGATAGACAATTTAAAACATTTCAGATCGCTACAAACTGTACAAGTTACGAGATTGATATGATGAACTGACTTTTTATAGAAGAGAGATACACCACTGAGTGAATTCTAAAATAACTTGGAGAAACTAATGGCTATGAGAATCACAGTATATTGTTAAATAAAACCCCTACGCGGTGAAGCAGTTTGAACAGTGACAGGTTGATTACCGAAAAGCTACTCAAGTGTAAATTGGACTTAATTTCATATCACACTGAATGTCAACAGATATATGGATATAGACAAAATCTGCTAGTCTATATCCAAAAAGTTGTTAAAAAGGACTGACTCGGTCGTCGTATACTAAAAAAAACTCATATCAACTTGTAACAGGCGCTGTAAATGCCTATAAAGACAACGGAAAATTCGCGGTTGAAGCAAGCCCATTCTATCAACCGGGGACGGCTGCAGGTAATCGACAGAAGGTTCTAGGACCGGGTTTCGTGGCATTTTTCAGTATGAAGTACCTGACATCTGAAAGTAACAGATTTCGATAGTCAGTTTCGAATCACCATTTTTGAAGGCTAGTCATACTGTCAGGGTAGTCAAACCGAGGTAGGTGTGGCAAGGTATGAAATTACGGAATGATGATTAAAACCGAATGCTCTATCAACTATCCATTAATATTTACTTATCACCTTGGAAGCTCCAGAAGTGGACAGTGGCGAGTTAGTTGGAATTACCCATTGATCCTTACCATAAACTGATCCATAGAAAATCATTTATGTTAGGACAAATCCAGTAGTCCAGACTGTTGATCACTATTTCAACGTTGTATGATAACCGGACGAGTTAAGCAACAATATAGTACCTAAACACAATGTCAACCTTAGTAAAGAGAAAACTAAAGGAATAATAAAAATAATAAATTTGTAATATTCCAATGAGTAGATAAACTAGATTTTCCGACGTTTCGTAATTCAGTGCGGGCAACTTCTTCAGAATATAAATAGCCAAATTCAAAAAAAATAATGTTAAATCTTTAGTGTTTCGCTAGAATGTATACAGTACATCATGGGTTAAAGTCAAGTAAGCGCACGTAATGCAATGCATTTCAAATGGAATACCCACTACCACTACAATAAAAAAAACCATAGAATTACAAGATCTCCACAAGAATAAGCCAAAAACCCGAATAAAACTGGCAAGCTCAACTTATCTTCTTTGTAAACACAATGGCGGATTGACAGAGAACAAAATTTCATAGGTTAAAACGACTTAACCATTTCTCAGATGATAAGAGAAACCCAAGTTATTTGGTAAAGGATCCTCTCAGACTCGACAACTGTTTCAACAATCCGCATAATCAATCTTACATATAACTAGTAGTAATTTCCACTTGAACTAATGTCGATAAGACTGGAACTTTGTTGCAGTTTATTTCAATAGAATGCTTTTCAACTAGAAGCGGGAACGCTTTACTATGGACATACCTAAGATTTTTGGAGTTAATTACATAATGACAAGAGTCTGGCTCCAAGTGACGCAGCGTTGTTATCTAAAATTTTATCAAACCGTAACTGACTCCTGGGAGGTCTAGGTCAGTTAATCTATAGACCGGTCGCTAATTTATGACAATCGATAAGCTATGTTCTCATATAAACTTTACCCATTTACTAAAACAAAGTGAGTAGTAATAATGTGTCAATTATCCTCAAAACCACAAATCATCCTTCCATTAATAAACACAAACCAACGTTTGAAGCAAGTACTAACTACCATAGGATAAATGTATGCTCTACCAAATGCAGAACAGGAACATTACCCGTTACATTTTTGTCCCCTCCCTGCTTAAAATTGATAAATGTTTATGGAGCACTGCAAATGCATAATTTTTTACAACTAGACCAACTATTCTAAACAGACGATAACTGTTTCGGCACCAATATTTAAAATATATGGTTCTCAGTTTACTGCGTTTACCGAGCTAATAGTCACACAGAACATCGGTTACAATTTCAGAACATTTGGTTTTCTGAATCCGTACATATTAGTTAAGCATACAATACAGTCTAAATGCATGTGAAGAAAACTAAGTACATCTACATAAACCGATTGACGTAGGGACTAGATACTATTAATATTAACATAACTTATATTATTACAGACTTAATTATAACCTAATGAAAAATAGGCTTATGTTGCAAAGCTAAACAGTGGTCGTGCACTTCACTAAACAAACACAACTGTGTACTACCGGAAAAATTTAAGTACATCGTACAATGACCAAAAACATATCATTTATCCTCCCCAATGCTAACCGTCATATACTTCATGGTATCTTTGCACCGTCATTAGCAACTGTTAAATGTTATTATTGTGAATCGAATTATGTCGACTGCTTCATAAAAGCAACAAAATCGGGAAATCTGTTTTCCAAGTTCCTGTTATGAGCTGAATCAAAGTCATCTTAAAAGGTGACGGGAGATAGTCGAAAATAGAGATGGATAAGTACGACATCGTACGCATGCAGCAAGACAATAAATGTTTTGATTTCAGTTAATCCACCGTAAGTTGGTAGGTGCCATCTCTCAGACCCATCAATAACCTACAGTTTTTTGGATAAGTAAACACTAACTTCATAGCTTGATGCTAAATCTTCATATTAGGCAAACAATACTTTTTGGGCATGTTTATACTCGTGAGCAAAGCTAGGGAGTCAAAGATAAATAACATCATATACAACGCAATATTAATTTATGGCTCACACAATTAATCATAAAATTACATCTGTTCAACCTGAGTTTGATAGCACGATTATACATGATTAATGCTTTGAAGATACAAGTTAGCAAATCACTGGATATTTTTTATGCTGCTTACTTACAGACTGTATACTAAATAGGAAGCAATGCTGAAGTGCTCACAAACCACCTAAAAAGTATGGAAATATCTGTCACAGATGATGGTATTTACAAAATTACGTTGTCTATAAAATCCAATATTTGTAAAGACCCAAATGAGAAAACGTGTAAGCATGTAACTGTAGGATTGGTAACAGTTCAATATGTATTAATTAGGATTGAAATTGCGCAAGTCCTAAAGACAAATCCAACACCAGGAACCAATCAAATGGAAATTGCAATCCCGCTTTCTTTATGGCTAAAACAGGTATGGTTACAAAATAACATATCTACTAACAGGACAATTCTACCTAATCCATGGAAAATGATAACACAAAACGAACGCAGCTAAAACCTAGTAAAGAACTCAGGTCAGTAATGATTATATACTGAATCAAATTTCGAGATATCAAGGGCAGTTGAAGACGTATTATTAAAACATATACAATGAATAACATATTCACAACATAATAATAAAACCCACAAGAGACCGATTCTCTTTATCAAGTAAGAGACATCTACGGAACCTCCTAAGTAACTGAACCACAGCAGTCGCCTGTTTGACGACTGACTCAAATGACGTGGAATCAGTAAAACTATGCGGAGCACTTGATCAAAATCAGCTGGAGGTTGACTAATTACGTAAGGAAATTAACTGAAGCATTAAGATGTTGATAGATAGCCCAAATACTGTGGCATGTTTCTTACTATTTCGACAGCTCGAACATCACTTTAACACCAATCTCCTAATATAATAAATCTAAATTATGCTATAGCAAGTGATCATGATAACTTATCTCCGAAGTTAATGACCCAATGTTGCTAGTTACACATAAGTGATAATCGACTTACTCCTCTCATTTTGATTGACTGCTGACTAGGTCACTTTATGAATGATACAAGCTCTAAAAATGAAACTAACTTGGTCGCTAGAACTTCTAGGATTCAATGACTTGGAATCATCTAGCATCTAATCAAGACTTCAGGACCATTAAGACTATATTTAAGGGTTTTTAAATCTACACCGCAATGCTCTTGTCCTATCGAATATTATAACATTCGTCAGTTATATTTCACAAACAAGGTGTGGCATATGGGTGTTGACTTAAAAACCAAACAATAACCTTCATTTCCGACTTTAGTGAGACTCTCCTATTTGAACAACTAAGTATTCAGTTCTCTGAGTCATAAGAAACGGACATATGGTACTAATTTATGATTTTCTACTGATCATACATTTACTATCGACTTGTACTTGCTAGTTAAATTCGAGTAAATAAAATATCACAATTGTGACAGTTTCGTAAATAAAAATACTCAGGTACCTTGCATTATAATAATCACATTAACGTAAGGAGTTGCAAAAGCCCTGATAGGACAGGTATAACCGAATTAAAGACAAAATCAGAATTGGGACCAACACTATGTGTAACACCAGATGAAGTTAAGAACCTATGCTTTTTCGCTACACCTTTACGATCTGGACACTAGAGGAAAACTAATGGATGTCGCCACACTAGTTTTCATGGTGGGACCACTGGTTGAATAGTAATCAGTAAATCCTTGAAGTCCTATCATACCTGACAAGTCAGTTAAAAGTTTTTAGTGGGGTTTTGTTCTCTAAACTGGATGGTTTGTTCGTGGAGCTTTCATCGTTATTCTGAACATAATCAGCTCGAACTTCAGATAGAAGTGTTCGGATTTCCCCATATATAGCTCACAGCTTGTCCTATGGACCTTGATCTTGATCTACCTGAAGTTTGTGCTGATGTCGTCCAGAAAAACGATGAAAGCTCAACGATCAAACCATCCAGCTCAGAGGACAAAACCATCAAAATCATCCATCTGAGCTACAAATCTCCACCATCTCAGTTAGGTTTTATGACAAACTAATAAAATTAAAACCTATAAATGAAATCATACTGGAAACGGCTAACCAACATCTCCAATGATGTTGACTACTTAAAATGAGAGGATGAGAATGTCGGTAGTGAAAATAGCTTAACACTTAACCAGGGATAGTCTAGAAGAAACTAATACAACGCGGATTTAGTTTATTAATAACGTCCCGCAAAAAGTACTCTCCCATACTATAGGCTGCCGGTGTCAACCATACAAATGTCACAAATACAATTTGGACTTATCAAGTTAACATCTAACCCCTTTCTTGTTTCCTACTACTTCATCATGAATACAAGATATCCGGATAATACGGATATTTGGAGAAATATATGACCTTATCTTTGAGACTTCAGCCAGTACAATAGACATCAATTGTATCGCAGCACTCTCAGCAGTGACATCTACTAGTGATTTAAACCACAGGGTTACAAAGAACCAATGGATTTCTTCAAGGCCTATTACACTGATAGATTCTCGTAAACTCATCCCATCAGGTTCTGAACACGATGAAGAGCGTAAAGAAATCAGATCTAGATTAAGCAAAAGTCTAAGGAACGATCGTGAGCAGTCGTGGGCAACGAAAGCAAAAGAGATGGAAAAGGCGGGGGCTATAGGGAACACAAGACAACTCTACAGGCTAATAAAAGAAACTGGAATTAATAAATCAAGTGTAAGTCAGACTATTTCGGAAAAAGACGACACTCTCATCTGCTCCCAGTCCAGACGTTTAGAACGATGGGCGGAACATTTTAAGGAGCAGTTCAGTTGGCCTTCATCTACTCTACAACTACCCTCTATTCCCAGACAGTATGAATGGAACATTGAAGTAGGTCCTCCAACTCTAGCTGAAGTTCAAAAGGCTATAGCTAATCTGAAATGAGGAAGGGCAGCTGGTCTAGACGGATTGGCCCCAGAGGACTTTAAGGATGGTGGTCCAGTTTTAGCGATTAGGTTGACTAATATTTTAGCTAAAATCTGGGAGTTAGACGTTATCCCATCTAACGGTCACAATCACTTATCTTCCCAATGGATAAGAAAGGGTCAAAATCATCCTGTGACAACCATAGAGGGATTAGTTTAACTAATATAGTATCTAAAATACTAGCCTCGATAATTATGGGATGCCTAACTAAGACTCGTGAACTGGTCGTGGATGCATCGACCACATATTCACCATTCGTCAGGTTCTAGAACACAGACATACTTATCGGCGTCCGAAAATAGTGATCTTCCTTGATTTAAAAGCAGCGTTTGACTCTGTCGACCGAGAGGTTCTGTGGCAGTGTCTGTCATTGAAAGGCGTACCTCAGAAGTACATAAACCTTGTGAAAGCTCTTTACTCCAACACTACTAGTCGAGTCAGAGCTTATGGCGAACTGTCATCTGCTTTCGCGACCTCAAGTGGCGTCCGCCAAGGCTGTCCACTTTCTCCATTTTTGTTCAACTTCATCATAGATCTACTGATGGAAATAACGCTCTCATAGACTGAATTCTCGGGCATCGACCTCCTACCAGGGGGTCCACTTATCGACTTAGAATACGCAGATGACATAGTCCTGTTTGGTGAAGACGCTGATAATATGCAGTCTCCTGGTAGCACTGAGTAACAATGCCAGAATGTTTGGGATGCACTTCTCTCCCTCTAAATGCAAGTTGGTGCTTCAGGACTGGTCTGCGTCAACACCTGAACTAAGGATAGGGAATGAAGTAGTCGAACGCGTTGACAACTTCACTTATCTTGGAAGTCTGATCAGCCCTAATGGGTTGGTGTCTGACGAAATCTCAGTACGGATTCGAAAAGCTCGCTTGGCCTTTGCCAACTTACGTCATCTATGGCGAAGGCGAGATATCCGTCTATCAATTAACGGACGAATATACTGCGCGGCAGTTCGTTCCGTCCTACTATACGGCTGCGAAACATGGCCTTTATGAGTAGAAGATACTCGTAAGTTACTAGTGTTTGACCACAGATGCCTTAGAAATATTGCGGGTATCTGCTGGGATCACCGGGTAGGTAATAGTGAGGTTAGACGCAGGGTATTAGGGAATGATGGTAAATCAGTTGATGATGTTATGAATCTTCATCGACTGAGATGGTTGGGCCACGTGCTGCGTATGCCTGAACACCGATTACCACGACGCGCAATGCTAACCGGTGTTAGGGATAATTGGAAGAAAGTTAGGGACGGCCAAACCAAAACGCGGCACCAGTCCAAGAAGTCACTAACTTCTGGTCTGAGCCATGTTGGTTGACGCAGACTGCCTGGTTGGGGTCCGCGTGACTACCGTAACCGATGGTTGGAGACTCTGTGACATGGCTTAGAATCAATCATAATGAAGTAGGTGTATACATTCTGTCTTCCCTCAAACTATGAGATTAAAATTGCTTCATATCTTTCTTTCTACGAACTAATTCTTTCTTCCTGTACTATCTCCTTATATGCAATCTTCTATATATTACCACCACTGGATTAACTAGTTCTATGAATCCGGTGTTTATCTTGTGCTGATGCGGTATGGCAACTTGAACCGATGCATATATGTGCCTGTTCCTACGTCGCAGCTGACTGACTGACAGCACTCAGTCTGGTGTAGATGAGTACTTTAGTATTCACTAAACATTAGTGAATCGCTGAGTGAGGTGTAATGATACTATATGATTGATCAAACTGAGGTAGTGTTAATGAGCATTGAATAATAATAAAAAATAAGTTTCGAGAAAGTGTTCAGTACATAGGCTAGCATCAAGCGACTGAGGTTTACTGGACCATAATACAGTACTCGAATTTATGAACGATATTACAGGCAAGATCGTTATGCAAATTAACGAATGCCATGAAACGAAGACTAGGCTTGGCTCTGAGCCACATGTTTTATGTGGTTACAATTAGGTCATATGAGAGAATTGGTGGGAAGCTCGAACGTGATGTTTATTAGTTGAAAGTCGAACACTTTAACTAATAAAATCGTACATCTAATTTGTAGCAACCTGGAAGAACTATGACATTCATAAATGTTAAATGCAACTGGCTGACTATTGTGATTTTGAATACAAGTAGTTGCGACATTAATTTATCCGACAACTGAAGAATTATCAATTCACAATGGTATAATAGTCAAAGTGAAAATAGACGAAGACATTTAAGTGGTTACACCTTGAGAACCATTCGCAAAGAAAACAATTTTTATTATTCAAATGCATGCGTGTACAAGTACAGTTACAGTGAGTGCGTGGTTTGTTCACTTTAGTAAAAAGTTTTACTTAGCTGAAGCATAGAAATTAGGTACATCTGAATTATTTCTTGAAATCACTATTATTGCTAAGAAAAATGAAGCCACAATGATACTCAAATGTGTAATAAACCAAAATAATTGGCTGCAATTAATACTCATTTTTTTCAAACAAAACTAGAAAGGACAATTAGTTGGATCAAACATATATACAACATTAGGGAATGTGAAGGAAATGAATAAGGTACATAATTAGTCTGTACAAATAAGTATAATACATAGGGACAAAGTTGATATGGAACACGAAATCACTGTACACTCGTAATGCGTTAGAACTATGCACATTAGTTGACAATATACATAAAAAATACCATTATATCTCAAACATAACTGAGAGA